ACAAAAAAATCACTTCAGTGTTACCATTAGGCTAAAAGGTCGCTGCACCTCGCTGTTTACAGTCTACAAGCAGAGAGTTCTTGACCAAAGCCGTGTCCTCACACAGACAGGCGACCTTCGGGACCTGGTTCAAAATGCTGGATCCACAACAGAAGTGGAAAATGGCACAATGGGATAAAAATGATTTTACTCATAGAAGGAAGAATTGGTTTACACATTTCTACTTATTTTTTCAGGATTGGAGAGTGACATGTCTTCCATGTTGCTCCTCGTGCCACGGTCAACTTAGGGTCGCAAGAGACCAGGAAAGCTCTTAGCCAGAAAAGCCAGTGACCATCGTGTGAAGTTTCTCAAGGTGAGGTTACACTTCAAGGAAATAAAATGAAAGATTTCACATACCTTATCCTAATAACGTTTTTAAAGTTCATAGTTAAATCATGGTAAGATAAGGTATGTCTGTAATGTAAAAGCATTGTCTCAAACCCTAACCCAAACCCTTTTTTTGGGCCACTGTCGATCACACTGGTATATTATTAAATAATACCTCAGAAGATAATTAAATATTAGCTATGAAGATGTGAGAAAAAAAACTGGCACATTAGTACTTCTGTGACAGGAGATGACAATGTGTCGTCAACTTTCTGTTGTTATCATTTAGAAAAGTCTCCCCTGAAGGCATCTTACAGGTGCACAATGGTATTCAACTATTGTGATCATGCTGACTCTGTATTCCTATCACAAGCCACTAGAAATAGTTACTTTACTTATCAACTTCTTCTTTTCCCCTTTTGATCTTTTCACAAAGAACAGTCAGTTGGGACATACCTCTTTCCTTATTCATCAAGCACTTTGCAATGAAACAATGAAAAGATTAACAATGCAATGCATCAAAGACGGTCTTCAAAGGAAGTGCATTTCCCAGTTATCGGCAGCTGTGTGGTGATGTAGATAACAAAGGGAAGCTGAGAGGAGGGAAATAAAGGCCTTAAACCTCTCCAGGGGGAACACCTCTCTGCTGCCACTGTGCCCCGGCCAGATGCAATTTCCTGAACGCCGCTCTGCTCTTCAAAGAGAAGAGAAATGGCTCCATCACTGTAGAGAGCTGAGGGGGAGGAGTGAGAGGAGGGGGGGGGGGGGGGGGGGGGGGGGGGGAGCGTCTCACAAACAGTTTTGGACTTGAGCTACATAAATTAACGATCACATAAATTATCCATCCCCTCAAAGTACACAAAAACGCTGAAAGGTCAATAAGATGCTTGAGTGGGTGTAAGGACACACACACACACACACACACACACACACACACACACACACACACACACACACACACACACACACACACACACACACACACACACACACACACACACACACACACACACACACACACCACACACACACACACACACACACACACACACACACACACACACACACACACACAACTATTTACATGCTTAATATGTGTGCATTTCATACTCCACTGCTGAAATGAATTATTGAGGCAGCACTAACCGGATGTTGGGGAGCATGTGCTCAGAACCAGAAGGCAGTTCCAATCCTATCAGGGAAAAGTCATGATGTAATGTTTGGGCTTAGGAGAAGACCACGACCAACAGCTACTGCATGATTAAAGGGACAGTTCAGATTTTTTTAAGTGGGGTTGTAGGATGTACATACCCATAGTCAGTGGGGAACTGAGGCTGTTATACCCATCTACTCGCTCTTCAAAGACACAAGACTCTAAAGCTGTCAACATTGACCAAAATGGTGTTTGATAAATTCTTTTTAACTAAACATATTACTATTCAAATATCAATTTTTGGGGATTATGTCCAAACAGTAAGATCCAAACCAATACAGTGAGAGGTTTATTTTTGTTACATATAGGATGCTCCTTCCAGATGTCAGTATAAAATACATAGTTGAAGGACTCAGCTGTTGTGTACATGTCAGCTATTTCAGGAAGAGAGTCACCTTTGATCCCTTTTGCAGGTTTTACAATTCTCTGCAGGGACCTGTGGCTGAGACGTTTCAGCACAGGCTGTTTGTGAAGATGCTCTTGAGGATGCCTCTTTAATTGTAAGTGAATGCATCACAGCTCATACCACCTTGACGTGCAGTGGTAAACAGATGTGTTCAGTTCAGTACTAAACCGAGACTTCAGGCAAATAACTGAAATAACCACAATGTGATATGCATCACCATTAGCCTTTTTGATCATTTTTAAAAGAGAGGGAAGGGGTAGACCTAGAACAGATCTTTTGCTTCTATATTCTCTTATTGTACCACCGAACACCCCCAACCTTCAAGACGAACATGGCTCAGGGGGTTAACTCCTGGGCTCAGTTAATGGGCAACATAAAAGCCCATGTACTATGGCTTAGTCCCAAAATGAAGGACTAGGGTTTAAAACTGGCCTGGGACCATTTGATGCATGTCGTCTTTTCTGTTTCCCCCTTGAAACACTCTCACTTCAATAAAAGGCACTGGCTGCCCAAGAAATCTTAAAATAAAAATAAAATAATTGCACCCGTAGGCATGTCTACAGTATATAGTACGTTCGTTTTAAGGGATACAAGCAACAGCTAAATAACATGGAATGTAATGTGATGTACAAAACTACTAGCAGGACGGGCCCAAAAGAAAAAGACACAAATACAAATCCGTCTGCTTCAGAACACGTACAGCATCATGGATTTATCAATGCACACCACAGGAAGCTAATAATATTTCAGAGCCATGTTTGGGGTCATTGATTCTAACAAGCACAACCAAAACAACCTTTCTGCCCTTTCACTTGTTCTACTATAAGATAATGGAGAGGAAGAGTGGGCAGGTTAACAAGTAGCATGCATTTTTGGGATTTTGCAAAACATGTTGCATCATCTTCATAACTAACTTTCCTAGTCTTTCAACACGCTTTAAATGAGGAAGTAGTCCACTGTGAATCACAGCTGAGCTGACAACTGCTAAACGCTGCTGAGTGTAGTAATCTCACTTTGAGGTTCATACTGTACACCTCACATGTACTAAGCAGCTCAACTTTGCAGGGCTTTTTGAGGCAGAACTGTGACTCATTAAGAGCTTATATAACTTATATAAGATAACACTAGTTTTAAACTGTGCCTACACATGTGTTAAACCTGCAATCGGATAATTAAGAAAGTCCTTAATTCAATACATTTTAGAGAAGAGGTGTTGAAAATAAATCAAAAGGCATCAGTTCGCCTTTGCAACCAGATACATCTTATAATTAAGTTCATCCAGACAAACAAAACTACTTCAAACTGCATTCAGAGACATAAATAAGGCTTCTAGTAGTGTTTCCTTCACTGTGTTAGTGAGAAAAATAGTAAAATTGCCCATAAGCAGAAAATATCACTTCAAAGCTACTTCACTGCAGCTGCTTCAGTAAGTGGCAGCGGGTAAAGCTCCTCTTCGGTGTCATTGTGTATGAATGAATGTTTGCCAGACACAAATAAATCTCTAAGGCCAGCCTTCAAGTCTACTCTGCTGGTTGAATGAAGGTAACAACCATTTGGTGCTATAATATATGGGAGGCTCAAAAACCAAAGAAGTCTACCGCCGATAAACGTGAATCTTCTTGGGGGAAAGATAAACTAGCATTTAACGTAATCCAATCTATTCAGTGAGCTTGCTGTGAGGAATGATCGATGAACAGCTCCAAATGAAAAACCACGTCTGATGCCAGTGTCCGTTGGCAACAGAGTCGGGGCGCGCCGGCAGTAGAAGGCTTTTATGGCCAGACTTTACAGGCTCTACTTTCTGCCGCAGGGAAAACTTATGAGCATCAGTCACTCACACATATATAATGTCAGTGTTTCTTTGATCAGCTCCACTGCATGAATCCACATCTCTTCTCCTCATGGGTTTAATCTCCAGGGCATTGCTGTGCGGTGCTAACCCTTACCTTGTTTTGCAAAAAGAAAATGATAAGTAAAAGATGAAACGGTAGATTTAAACCTTGACTCAGAGCAGTGGGGATGCAAGTAAATAATGAAAAAGCTCAAAAAATTGTTTGATCATACATTTTAACAAGGACTTGTCGGCACAGATTCAAAACATATTTTTGTACGCATACTGATATGAACACACACCAACGTTATCATGAAAAACAAGAAAAAGGAAGACTAAATCCTAAAGGTGCATGTCTGCTTTTGTATTATAAATGATCTGGGAATAAGAGACATACATGTTCACAAAGACAACATGTACAGTGACAGATTAACAACAGAGAGGGCTTCGATTCAACCCAGCAGCATCCGGACAGAAACACACCGCAGGACTCCGAGGTCGAAAAACAACATGTCAGGTTTGCTATTTATTTTGCCGTGAGGGGTTTATTGTTCTTTAACCCTCTATAAATAGATAATCCTATATGTTGTACATTGTGTGTGTTGCTGCACTCTACTATCCAAACTAAACAAAAAGAATATTCGAACAAGGCTGGTGATCATACGTATCTTTCTTTCCCATGAAAAGACTAACGATGTGTTAGTCCAGCTCAGGGTACTTTTGCACGTACCGGTCTGTAGCGCTCAACTCCAAGCGGACATAGGCTCCATCTTTAAAATCAGGTCACAACATTTTCGTAAGTGAAATAGGATATAAATTGTGTATTTGGTGGGGACTATTATCTCCAACAAAATTAACTGCAAAAGTGCAATATTTCCAATAGCATTTGAATTTCCAACACTTTTATACAAAGGATATGTTGATGTTAAATTGCTATATGAATTTTGAGCGCTCCAATTGCTCCACTATAATTAAAGTTTGGATTTCTTTCACAAAAGTCTGCAGTATTAACATTTTAATTTGACTTAAACACACTTTATCAGGCTTTGGCTACACAGACAATAATTATTAGCATTATGAACTCATTTGTGGTTTTGGCTTTTAACAGTATTAAAAGATAACCATCAGACTTATCCCTTTTAATTATGATTGGATAAATATCCTTTCGGGATGAAACTCACCACTTTGAAGTCCTCCGCCCTGCACTCGGTGCCATGAAAGCGGCAGGCGAGCATCATGTCGTTGATATCGTGGCCGGTGCGGTCGTAGAATTCACGCATGTTGAAGGGTCGCGGCTTAAAATGAAGGAAATCGGCTTTGGCCTTCAGGCTCTCCAGGACACTCTCCTCCACGAGATGTATGTCCCTGATCTCATACCTGGAAAAATAGATAGACAGACAGAGAGGTCAAAGAAGTATTTCACACATTTCAAGTGCACATTTTATGCCCCGTAGGTTGGTATGGAAGGAGGAATTTCCTTGACTATGAATAATCACGACCCGGTGATAAAGTAGACTTAATATAAAGTCCATTTCAGCCTTGAATTTCTTTTCTGCATACTTCCAGAAGGTTTATGAGTCTTTATCTGTGAACTTTTGTTCCTCTCAGCCAAAGCTAAACATAATAGAATCCAGAGGAGACAGACAGTTCAATTCTATGAGTGGGTTTTCTCTGGCCTTTTCTGGCTCTGAACTGATGGCACTACCAGAGTGTAACACTTTATTGTACAGTACATACAAATGTTAAGACAAGAGCTGTAAGGGCCCATAAAGCTAGTCGTCCATTTACTGTCGATGCAGCAGCAGCAGCTTTAGGCTACACTTCAACTCCAGCCTTAAAAGCAAGTCTGCCTACACTATTCAAAATATATGGCAAGAAGAAAGACAATCTTCTGTCTTTTTTGGTTAATGGAATCGTGTTACTTTTGGCTTTAAACGTCCCATGTCATGGCCATTTCTACTGATCATATTTCCATTGTTGAGGTCTACTAGAATAGATTTAAATTGTGCAATTTTCCCAAATCACATTGGTTTCTCATACAGCATCTCTGTATGTGTATTCACCAGGTATTCACTCTCTGTCCTAAACGGCTTGTTGGAGCTCCTGCCCCCCCCTCCCTGTGAGCCCAGTGTGCTCTGATTGGTCGGGACGCTGCGAGCTGCTGCGAGGAGCGGACAGGTTTCCGGGTCGGCGATACAGCGAGACACAGCGAAACTCATCCTGACCACACACAAACACTCACAGCCGAAGTAAAAACAATAAGTGTGGCTTGATATTGAGTAAGAAAAAGGTTTATAAACGCTGTGAGAATGGGTCTGCGGAGAGCATTTCTCCGCCATCCCAACTCGTCTATTACCAGCGTTCAGGGAGCTCTATGCAAGTCAATGGGGACTGCCTGTTAGTTAGCCAAGGGATCCTGGTGTGTGAGGCGCTCCGCGGATTGGTCCATTTGGGCCAATCCGGTCATTTGTTGTTGATTTGGGTGTTCACACGTCACAGAACCCAGGAAGCAAACAATGGAAAATGAGAAATCTCCAACGAGGCGTTTTGGGGCAGCATAGATAGGTCTTTTCTGTGTTAGAGTTTTACTCGCTACAGGGTGTACTTTGAGGGGTTTTGACTCTGCAGACCGTTTACATGCATAAAAACCTTCATAACACACAAGGGGACGGGTAATAACCAGAAAAACATGACATGGGACCTTTAAGAAAATTCACTCACAATGATCTCTTCTCATTTCTTGTTGTCACTCCTTTCGAAACAAGTTACAAACATTAAGTTTGATCAAAATGCCAAGAACTAAATAAGTACAAGCAGCTGTAGATGCTTTAAATGCTGTTTTGGGGTATCATTAGAGATAATGTGCATTGGTCCAAAGATGGCAGACAAATAGGCAACTACCTGATGGTTAGACAATGATGAAATCTCTCAGCTTTTATTCTACCGCCACTAGCAGGTCAAAGTCTTTTAACTTATCCAGTGGTAAACCAATAATGGATTCCCACACACTTTAATGTTTCCCAGACAATGTTTTCTAATTAGTTTCGTGATGCTTTGACTTTACCTCCAGTGCCGCCATTATTGGATCGTTTGTCTTGAACTTCGGTTCAGACACTCGTGTCCCCCTCAGGATAAGTTGTAATCACTTTGGTGATCCCCGAATGTTTTCCTCTAGTGCAATATTGTCCAATACTTTGGTTCAGCCTCTGCTGTATTTTGTTTTCAGACCTGCAATAAAACCACTACTTTGTTTCACGCTCAACTTGGAAGAAATCCTCACTTATTTAGGTTAATACGGTGCATTTGTTAGCAACCAGGTTCCTTTTGACTAGCAGTTGAAGAGCAACAATGTCATTCATTTGGACTCATGTTTCTGATCGCCTGGTAAATAAAGTTTATTGACTTTCTTCGAGCTTTGATTTTTTGGGAATTTTCAATTCTACCAACACCTGAGAAAAACATATAACTCTTCAGCTGCTAAATGATCCAGTATGTTTACCAGCTAGTCTCTAATGCATCCGTGGTTTGGTGAGGAACAGGTAGTGTCCAGTGAAGCAATGCCAGAAGGTTTGTTTTTTATATAAAATATACTTTTAATGAATAAGCATATATAGATTGTAATACTGAAAATGCTTTCTCCTGGTTAGTTAATTCTGTATTACAGTGAAGTGATTGTTTTGAATGTATTAGATTATTAAATAAATGAAAAAGAAATGTCTCCTCGCTTCATCATATATTCATCCCTAATAATACGCTCCGAATGGTTTTCTGTAACAGCTAAGCCTCAAATATCATTACATTATTGATAGCATGGTATTCAGTTCCACTGCTGTGATATTTCATTATGTCCAGACGTAGCCTTTTCTTTTCTTTTCACTACATTAAGGATAAAAGGCCTGTGAGCATGTGAGCGGGGAGCCAGGCAACCCGCATAACACCGAGCATTATCAGTGGAAATGTTCTTTTCATTTAATGGAGCTCACAAAAATCTGACCACGCTGCCTCGTATCAAAAGAGAGCAGAATAGCCATAAATGTGCCCAGCCTCCACACTCGCTGCGATCTCCCTCTGTGCTATTATTAAAAATGTCACCATTTTAATGGACTAACCAAAGAGCAAATTGGGGGAGGTTTTTTTTCAGAACACTGCCTCGAATGAAAATGTCTCATATGAATGAGGCCACTCTTGTAGGAAAATAGTCTTTTATTGATGTTGTGAAAAACACTATTACTGCAACCTGTGTGTTTGTGTGCAATACAGTAATAAGAACGAGATTAACTTGTATGTAAACAATAGTGTGTTATATGAAATTATACTATAAGTAACCCTTTTGATTTTCATTTTCAAGAGGGCAAAGGAACATTTAACACCAAATGAAATATTTTAAGCATTACATCAATGCTGCTAGTCTCATTAAAGTTTGGAAATTAGTCCATAGATTATTTTTGTGACATTAAGATGAAACTAAACCTCCCTCGTGCAGAGGCAGAGAAGGTTTTTGTTTGATTGAAAGAAAACTTAATTGAGGAGATGGACTTGCTCCCCTTTGTTTGTGTAATGGACAAACCTGTCAAGAAGGCACTTACAGTATGAGATACAATCCCATAAGAACGAGCCGACGGGATCGGCAAAGGCTGACACTTCGGGATGTGTGCAGCTTAAATATCATGCCACAAGACATTTCCCAGACCACTGACTTTAAACATGGGGAGTGGGTGGAGAATAGTCTTAAATGGATTTCATGCCACAAGCACTTTCATTTCCGGCCGGGGGTATAACAGCTAAGTGTGCCGTTGCATTGCCTCTCTACCTTGCCAAGGGAGGCAGGATAATGAGCACTAAACCTATTTCAACGTGTGAGAGTTGAGATGAGTACACCGAGAAGGAAACTCAGCCCTATCTTTCTATATCCTATCTCTTTGGTCTCCAACTTTGAAAAGTCTTCCTTGCCAACCGCTGCCTGGAAATGTGAGTTTAGGAGATGTATTCATTAAAAAACACAAAAAACCCATCCAGATGGCAAGAGTTGATTATCAGTCACACCAGCACCATAGTAAACAATCTAATTTGAGTGTTCAGTCTGGGATCTTCATTAAAGATTTAGGATAGAAGTTGGCTCATAAAAGGGCCATCAGAGGCCTTCGTCACTGCGCTGTCCTTCATCTCTTTAACTGACAGCCTGCCAGAGGTTCACATCATTTGAGAAGAGTTTTTGAGCTCTCAGATGACAGGCACTGGTCTAAATGCAACAAAGAACACCAGATTGATGATTGGTTTCATTGTAGGAGCCTCTGTTGACATTAAGACATATATTATAACAACACAGGGAGAGCAACAGATTAATCAAGCAGCTTTTAAGTCATGTTTAGTAATAGTCTCTTTGTCTATCCGTCAGTTCTTTCCCCTGTCTCCTCTGCCCCTATAGGACAGCCATCTGCATGATGTAAATCAACTTTAACCAGGGAGGTCAAATCTTTTACAGCTCAGTTGATTCAACATGCATTAGGGGAGTTTCCTGCAGCTCTGTTAAAGTTACAGAAAACAAACAAAAGCCCAACTGACAAAGATACGCAGAGCACCTGCCATTTCAGTTAAGATCAAAAGGCAGCATACTCTCTACATCTTTTTCCTCCTGAGCATACAGAACATGCAGCTCTGGCATCCAGAGCCCTCAGCTGCACCCGCGACGGCTGCCATTCTCCGATTATAATGCCTCAGTTAGTTCATGACAAGCCAGCTCTCCAAGCCCTGAATGACTCAACAAGGTAGAACCTATTGGAGCTTGTTGAATAAGTGAGACACAGCTGTCAGTGGATGAAGTATTCAGATCAGAGATAAAAGTAAAAATACAACATTAAAGTAAATGCCCTGTATTGAAAATATTTTTCAATAGCATAGTATGGTTGGGATGTACTATGATCAAAATGCATACAATTGGCCCTGTGAGCTATATATTATTATTAAATCAATGATACAGTAATGTGTAAGGAGACTTTTTTGGTTAATCTAGTCGACGTGTTGCTTATTGTAACATTTACATTTTAGGTCAAGTTGAATCTGTAACAGAATTTACAACACATTTACAGATTTTGTGTTGACTCTTAATATGCTGAATATCTAGTAAGAAGCTGTCAAGAAACAATACAAAAGTATACATATTTCCCTCTTAAGTATTATGAATTGGAAGTATAAAGTGGCATAACATGGAAATACTAAACAACATTATGTAACTCAAGTTTGTACTACAGCACAGTATTTGATTAGATGTGTTTATTTACAATAAACCACTGATATTGGCAATATTACACTTTTTGATGTATATAGGCCCATCTATGAAAGCAGAAAGGGTGGCAAGTTTAGAAGGACATGTTTGATATAACGAGAGAATGCATTTCAAGAAGGCTTTCCACATCAATTATGGTATTCATTTTGCAACATTTTAACAGTTTTGTGTTACTGTACCTCTGGTTGAGCAGGGCCAGCAGCTCCCCCGCGTGGTACAGGTCATTTTGCGTCACGCGGCTGAAGCGGAACGCGTTCAGGTTGCAGAAGGTGACCGCGGGGAACGTCATGATCGGGGTCGAGATTTCATCCAGTTTGGTGACGTGCGGGTACTCTAGGTAAAAGTGGATCCGGTCCACGCACACAAACAGAAAGAAGGTCAAAGACCCCAAGAAACACACGATCCACAGGCAGCGTTTGATGCAGAACCGCTCGTATGTGAAAATGTGAGAGATTCCGTGCAGGGTCGAGCTGTTCGCAAAAACTTCTATGGGTGGAGGTTGATTTGTGTCCATTTCTTCGGTTTCTACTTTGAGATCCATTATCACTGAGCAACAAGCTCGATCTGAACGCTAGGGTCAGAAAACCGCTTCAACACACTCGCTGTCAGGAGAAACAGAGCCGATATTCATTCACCTGTAGCATAAACTGTCATTATCCATCCGAACAGGTGTGAACGTGTAGACACACACTCTTGGACTTGGCGCAATTTGGTCGCCATGCCTCATTCAGACAGATGGGGAAACATTGTGAGCATCCGCCGCTCTTTATAAAGTCAGACGATCAGGAACTGTGAGCAGGAGTGATGCATTCACAGAAGCAGGCATGCAAAAGCTTGTATAACCCAAATGTCGAAGGTCCATCACCAATGCACTACACTGTGATGTTTTGCAGGTTTCTCACTGGGTTGCAGTAAAGCAAATAAAAAGGAGTGACAAAGTGTTTCATCAGCCTGCGAATACGCTGCTCGAGTCCAGTGAAGCACGCAACATCACTGCACGCCAACAAGAAGAAACCCGGAGACCGAGAAGAGAAAGAAATCCTTTGGACACTTCAGCTCATTTATTAAGAGTTCCTCTGTAGCTGCGCAAGTCCTTTTTAAATCCGTAGGTTTTCAGGTCAAGACAGGAGATGTTCTCTACCCATGAATGAGAAAACGTCTGTGGGATCAGACGGTTGGTTATTCTGGTCGGTGGAGAAGAGTCGTGAGCTTTTTCTCTGCTCGCGTTTGTTTCTGCCTGGCAGCATCGGCAGTGGACAGGAGGAGAGGAGGGGAGAGGAGGGGAGAGGAGGGTGGACTGACGCCCTGCTGTGAGTGACTTACTGTAGTTTCACAGCTTCACTACACAAAACCGCAGCCCGAGTGAAAACACGGAGAGAAAGACAGAGACAGAATCAGAGAGCGTGTGCCATGTGGTGGACAGTGCTATCATTTCTGTCGTTTTGATTTATTGGAAAGCACCATACAAAATGTCTTGGTGAAAGGGAAAACACTGGATTGACCAATACAAAGAAAGAAATTGCCACATTACAGCAAGAAGAAGGAAATAAAACACCACTAGGGAAAAAAACTCCAATACCATCTGGATCTTAACAGACAATACCAAGAGAAAGACAATTGAGCAATACATCAAAGGGGTAAAACAGCAATTTAGAATTGCACTTCCATAAAGCTGGGGTCTCATGAGGGATAGATTTGAGAATGAAAGGTCAAAACTCATTAGCAGAGGCCAAGATATCCTGATTTGAGTCCTCCTATGAGGCAAGCTCCAAAAACAATGGATCCAAAATGTCACTAATGCAGCATAACATCTTTCAAATGGGCATTTTGTCACGACCGGGCAAACTCCTAGCGTCTTTCACTCAACGCAATCTCTCATTTAGCAATTCTTTCACCCTTGTTAATCAGAAAATTAAGCTTGCATCTGAATTCTTTTTTCTGGTTGCAAAAAAACATTCTACAGCTGCTTCAAAGGACTGAGTAGTGATCCTGTCGACGATTAAAACTGACTTCAAGTGCAAAAATGAGTGGATTATTCACCCCTTTAGCCAAATACACACAGTCACTGCTGAGACCGGTGGACTTCCAGACAAATCTGGCAACCCGGAGTAAACAGACTGTGTCAACATATGCCAACAATAAGACAGAGAGCAGCACTTCCTGCAGACAAAATAATACTCTACGAAGAATTCAACAGACTGTCAGACCAAAACATATTTACAGTATTTATTTTGGAAAAAATGTCCATAGTTTTAAATATTTCAGAGCATGTCAAAGCCCGAGTGAGTACGACAAATGAACCTGAGCGCCTTCAGAGTCTGCCTCCTCGATTTTATATTATCCGTTTTCTTAATGGTTCTTATCATTAGCATTGCATTATTAAACCATATATCTTCTTTTAAAGTTTCATTACAACTAATATGAATATCTTCCTGATTCATGGTTTAATTTTTTGGTCTATAAAATTGCTTAATAAAACCTAGGAAATGTGGTCCATGAAATGTCTATAAAGTTAATAGAGGGAGAGCCCAGAGCCAAAGTTAACAAATGTGCACGGTTGGTTTTGGTTTTATGCAACCAACAGTCAAGATAACCCGTCAACTATTAAAAAAACAAGACACTATTTACATTCGCGGACATTTTTGGACTCTGATTGAAAAATTGACAGGTAATTGGTTGTTTTTTCTTTACTCATATAAATAGTAAGGGGCAGGGTCACCTACCCTTGCAGAAGTGTGACAGAGCTACTCTCCAAAACAAAGTCATCATCAGGCACAGCAAAGAAAAAGAACATGTGCCACTTTTAGATTGGTCCATGAATAAACAATGACATTCAGTCCCCAGCTGGATACAGGCGAGAAGAATGGATCTGGCAGTGCAACAAGGCTGAATCAAGCTTTGTTAATAAAACAAAAATATTGACTTCATGTCATGGAAGATGCATCACCCATCTTTAATGCATCAGCATGAAATAAAACGTATTACCTGTGAAATAAATAATGTTACATGTTAGCCTACTGTAACTAAATCATTTACTGAAGTTATGTTTTTTTATGTCTTTCTTAGGAAAACGTCTCACTACACTGCTGTAGAGTGACAGACTGATGTAATAATATTGCAGCGACAAAAACACGATCTAAATAGATTGCAGAAGAGGCAGACACATAAATAAGTGGCTGGAGGAAATGTTCAGTGAAAGGATAAGGAATACATTTAATTTCAAACCCCGTCATAATCTATTAAAAAAGGAGACATATTTTGCACATCAAGCCCCAGTCTATGAGAGAACATTACATACTTCCGGTCGTTTTGCATGTCGTCCTACATTTGGCATCTCCTCGAGAATTTTAAATAAAGTTGTATGTGCAGAGTTTAGCCCGATTCAAAGGGCTTTAAGAAGAAGACTACATATTAAATAAGGTTGCAATTTAGCAGTTTCTGTCTTCTGTCTGGTGCTGACGTGTCTCATTGGTCTGGGTTTGGATATCAGAAAAATAAATAAGTGACTGGTAAAAATGTTCAGTGACATACTTAATTTCAAACCCTGTCGTAATCTACTAAAAAAGGAGACATATTTTGAACATCCTTATGAATGTCACACCCCGAGTCTATGATATAACATACATACTCCCAATCATGTTGCATAAAGCTGTATGGGTGGGAGCAGTGTTTAGCTTGGATTCAATGAGATTTAAAAAGAAGACTAAAATAAGGTTGCAATTTTTCAGTTTTGACCATAAGTTTTGACAGGCTGTCTGCTGTCCTTGGTGCTGATGTGCTGATGCGTCTCATTGGTCTGGGGTTGGATGTTCCTCTCCAGGCCTGCAGGGGGCGGAAGAGCGCCATGCTGCTACATTTTGATATCCAGAAAGAATCAAAACATGTGAGTACGAGGCACAGCAGCAGCGAAAAACATGGCGATCCCCCTTAAAGCAGCCCGTCTCTGTCGCCTGGCAAGACGGACTGTCACCTCTCTCTCAGCCTCACAAACTGCCAGCCTGCCAGAGAGGAGATGCTACATCTCCACCTCGACGGGGAATAGTGAGTGACATTTTTGTAAAAAAATAAGAGGAGAGCTTCTCCTATGCAGCTCAGAGGTCAATGTCCTATCGGCTGCTGCCAATGACAGCTAATGACAAATGTTTGTTATTGGTCTGCACCTAGTTTGGTTAAAACTTTCTCTTGTTGCCACGACAACAACATCCGTTAAATATGCGGTATCTACGGTAACGTAGTGCACGTTAACACATACAGAAAGTTTCCTAGGATGCACCCACTTCAGTCAGATACTTATACTGTGACCCTTAGTGGGCTTGTTGTTTTGAGTGCAAATGTTTCTTCGACGAGTTAGTAACAATGGCGTAGAAATGAGAAATGATGGGACGAAAACTATGTTTGGACAGAAAAAGTACACAATGTGCTATGTCACATTCCCCCAACAGTTTAACAAAGGTGACAATCAAAAAGAGCACATACTTGTTCTCTCAAGTAGCTTTCCATACAGCATAGGGCACCGCTTCTTGTGTAGCTGTGTTTGATACATTTTACAGTGTTTTCCTACTGCTTTCATGTTTAATTATCCTCTCTGTTAGATGCATGCAGTCTGCAAGTCTGTTCTTGAACAGGCAGGTACCAACTTCACGCTAAACAAATACAACGTTCTCCCTGAGAAGCTAACAGTTAGTCATTTTGTTCTTGGAAAACCACTTTAAAATATTATTGTTTTTACCAGAAGTTTTGGTTATATATCTCGCCGCTGTATTCAATCCCAAGTTTTTTTCCAAAGGACAGATATTAGTTAACCTTAATCCACTTGTTCATGGTGACCGCAGTTACTTAACTTGTTTAAACTGATACGAACTTCTACAAACTACGAGCAAAAGATGACCAATCAAATGACAGAGGGGCAACAGGTAAATCACCTTGGCGCATGCCATTGTTGTCTTCGCACAGTCGTAGCGCTTGACATTGCTAAAGCCCAGCCTAACAATATAATATAATAATGTAATATAACAGCAACAAGCAATGATATTTTAAATGCCATGCATTAATCAAGAAATGTATTAATGTCCAAATGACTTAGTACCACTAAAACCACACTTCTTTTTAATGCCAGCAGGTGGTGCTTTACCTGACTTGGCCTCTAAGTAATATCTTTACACACTTGTGATGAGTGTTTGGTTTTCTTTTAGACTTGTATCTAATATGCTAACACTATTAGTTAGCTTGCCAAAATAGGTTGGTTTACATTATTTTATGATGGGACTGATCAGAAAAATCATTTTAAAATCATGTACTGTAAGCGCCCTTAAAAGCGAAATTTGTATAGCACATGCCTCATCATCTTAAACAAATTGGTACTAATAAAGACCACAATTACTTTTCCATTATCAAATATCAAACAAAAAATGTTTTCTTCTTTCTTTTTTTCTGTAGATTTACAGTTCAAGCTGAATGCGCGAACGGCTCACAGCAGTCTGGACCTCTTCAAGAAAGAAACTGGCATCATCTACCGGATGCTGGGCCTCGACCCCAGCCGCCTGCCAGACAACCCAGAGCGTTTCCGAGACTGGTCCGTCGTGTTTGGTGATGAGAAGGTCAGCAGTGGACGACACTACTTTGAGGTGACGGTCAAAAAGTCTCAAGAGTTTCGTGTGGGCGTTGCCGATGCGGCGATGTCCAGAGAGGATTGTGTGGGAACGAACAGCTCCTCCTGGGTGTTCGGCTACGCTCAGCGCAAGTGGTTTGCTATGACCAACAACAAGATAATTCCTGTGACGCTAGTGGGCAAGCCAGACCGCATTGGCATCCTTCTCGACTACGAAGCTGGCGTTCTGGGGCTGGTAGACGTTATACAACCCACAATCATTCACACTATCAAAGCCCAGTTCAAAGATCCACTCTGCCCCGCGTTTGGACTCTGGGACGGGGAGATGCTCACACACTCTGGTCTGGAGGAGCCCGAAGGCCTGAAGTGAATCAGTACGAACTGTGATGGCTGTGGGAAAGCATCAAATCATTTAACGCTTAAGTACAGGTGATGGTTAATTTTACATGGTCAAGTTGGATCATTACAATGACTCTTTACAAAGCAGGTTCATACTTTGTGTATGCCATCCAGCCTCAGGCAATCATATCACATAAGCTTTTTTGTGTGTACCTCATGTATTACCTCGCATACTAAATGATGTGAAAATTGTGTGTTTTTGAGAGGAAAATTATTTTTGTTTTGTTTTTTTTACCCTGGTATTACCGTCACAGTCACAAAGCTGAAATTGTCACAAAACCTTTTTCAGTCTCATGTTCATACTGTACACTGTTTAATAAAATAACTTCACAGAAACTGCTTTTACATTTCTTTTATTTACAGCAGGATGATGCATATTTACAGTAACGCGATAGTGGAGCCTCGCAGTGGCGAAACTGTGGCGCGCTTACACTGAAACATCATATTAAATGCATGCGCATTTACACTACAACAGACAGCAAACTTGAACACCATCATGTGGACAGTTCACAGACGAAATGCAGCAGGTTTCTTTCTAATCAGAAGACGATTTATTGTTGATTGAGATGCAGCCGGGTAGCAACTTTATAGTGCATAACAATAACAGATGCAGAGATTAAACAGATTAAAACGGAATAGGCCTACATGAATAATCATAGGTTTCTAACAGTGACTATTTACACAATTGCACATTTTTGTGAATTACACACACACACACACACACACACACACACACACACACACACACACACACACACACACACACACACACACACACACACACACACACACACACACACACACACACACACACACACACACACACACACACACACACACACACACACACACACACACACACACACACACACACACACACACACACACACACACACACACACACACACACACACACACACACAGAGAGAATCTCCTGCTGTATATGCAGCAAGGCCAGGTGAGTGAGTCTCTTCTGGGTAACTGTGTTACGCAGCCAGGTTTTTAGGCGACGGAGCGCCAAGAAGGATCTCTCTGACGAGGCCACGGAGATGGGCATGGAAAGACACAGCTGGAGGAGATTTTCCCCGTATTTGATGAGTCCTCTTGTTTTCATGTGCAGGCTGGACATATACACAGCCAGTTCGTGAACAGTGCAAAAGTCCTCATCCTTCGTAAGGTCTCCCAGCATCCTCATTTGCATGTGAAGACCAGAGACATCTATGTTTCCTGGTTTTCCTATGCTGCAGCCCGCTCAGCACCCCCCCTTCCCGCGTCCCTGTGTTTAAGATACTCATTCATTCATCACGTCTCTCAATGATTCAGTCCTCTCATAACATTAATTAATTTCCATACCTAGACCCTTATGATCCCTTGTGGATTAGAGATTAGACAATCAGATTCCTTTCCCTTCTCAAACACCCCCCCCCCTATTATTTTTAGACTTTATGACATCATCCCCCTTTGTGAATCCCTGTCTGCTCTTTCATACGTGTTTCACTTTTTTTAAACCTTTTATCACTAGCCTCTTGGTGTTTTATTGATCTGTGTTTAATTGTGTTGCTGTTTACTAAGCTTTTCGCTATAGATCATTCCAGCCAGCAAAAATAAGGTCACTCTTGAGATATAGCCTTATTCTTTATTTTCTATACTGATTTATCAGCATAGCACGAAATGTTGGTTGAATTCTAAAATAGTAATTCTCTGATCGCATAAAAAGAAAAGGGTAAACTGCTAACTAGCTCACCTGATGAAAATGGTTTAGAGCGCTCTCCACAAAGTTGCGGCCTACTACGAAGCCTACTATTCTTTAGGGGACAAAAACCTTAAATATTTGTATATACATTACACACTTTCTTATAAATGAGTAAGTGTGTTATTATGATTGTACATGTGCAAATTGAGTTTGACTTAGAACAGACAACATGGCCCACCCCTGTGATCTTTGACGCCCCCAAAGGGAGGCTTGACCCCTGGATGTGAAACCACCAGGTTAGACGATGCCCTTCAACGTATCCGGCGTGATCTTCTGCTCCTCTGTGTCACAGGGTGTGTCGACGTCGCTGTCAGTGTACCCACGCTGGTACTCCTGCAGGACTGAAACAACGACATCGTGGCCAAACTGCATGGCGTCATCTATCGCCGTGTTCCCCCATCTAATAGATAGATAACACAGTGTAATGTGGAGATGGGTGAATTGTTATGATGGAGATGGAAAAGGACATTTTTACTACGTTTTTTTAATTGAATATGAAGATGAGTAACTCTATATTAAAGCCCCTACCTGTCTTTCATGTGAGGATTCACTTTACATACTTCAGTTAGGAAGACAACTGCTTCCACATGACCTGAAAGACAAAAGTGACCAGCGCCATGTTTCATCTACTCTCTTTTGAATATCAAAGGGATTATTAAATAATTAACTTTTGCTAATAGAGCGTCACCTTCTGCAGCAGCAACGTGGAGCGCTGTCCGAGAGTCGTAGTCTCTCTGCTCCATGTTCAAAGCTGAAAGAGCAAACCTGGAGGGATAACAAAGGAACAGAGGAGAGCGATCACATGTGGAAAGGATGATACGCATGGCAAAACGTCAGAAACTAAGTAGTTAAAACCCTACAAATACATAAGTAAGAAGCTGGGTATTATGAAAGGCAATTCTTCTGATTTGACTTACCTCCTGAGGGCCATGAGGTCTCCACTGTAGGCTGCAAACATCAGGTTTACCACCGACTTGTTCTAATGGATCAAAAGGAAATATTACTATATGATAACATACTTTTTCTTAAACATTTCACAAAAAACTATATATATGATTCTCACTAGCCTCATAGAAAATTGCAGATACACTTGTTAGCCTGAACTTACTGGATCTTCATCTGATCTTCTCCGGGGGTCGTGTTTCTTGGTGAAGTGTCTCAGGTTGTCGTAATTGTGGAAGTTGAAATGAGACAACAGATCCTAGTGAATTAAGAGTTGATTAATATTTGACAGACCAATATGAGAAGGGATGACCTAACAGGGCCTAAAGGTCTGTGAGCATATCATTATTAGTAACAATACTCATAATGTACCTTTTATCAATTAATACAAATATACATTGACGCTATGATTTCCTTTGTTGATTATTTTATTTGATAATAGTTTTAACTGTATTTTATGTTGTTGTGTATTCCCTACAGCAATATAATATCTTCAAATGCAAAAAGAAAAGAAGAAAACACAAAACTATAAATGGGGACATGCCTGCATACCTGACAGAAGTGAATGCCACGAACACTGTTTCCCAGCCGATCCAAAGGTGGAGACCAACACATCATACCCATGACGTTGGGGACAACCAGCAGAACAGCACCTGAAATGCCAGATTTAGCAGGCAAGCCCACCTGAAAATGAGAAGAAAACAAATAGTGTCAACCTGGATTCAACATCTCGTGCTACCATTTTCAGCAACAAAAGAAGCAACAGATGCTTATTTTCCAGGTGACTCACATGGAAGGCAAACTGTCCGGAGAAGTCGTACATGCCGCAGGAATGCATGAGGCTCAGGGTGTTGCGAACGGCTTCAGCGCTCAGCACACGCTCGCCTGTGATTGGACAAATACCCCCGTTGGCCAGTGTGGCCGCCATAACACTTCCTGAATCACAGTTCACCTCAATAGAGCACAACTGGAAAAACAGTCGGAGGAATCATTTGAAAACTTTGGAAATGCACTTTATTGCTGAGGGTAAAGGCCGATTCTAAAAGCATTAACTCAATTTGTATCCAGTGGTGGAATGTTACCAAATGCATTTACTCAAGTACGGTACTTTATATATTTTATGCTAGTTATTACTTTTTCTCATACAGAGAGTGATATCAATTTTCTTATTTAACTTATTAAAATACACTTATTTTCAAAATGACAAACCTTTCTTAGAAAATGTTTTCCACAGAGTACTGCAATGTTACCTGAAAGTAGAAGTCAAGTGCAGCCATCATGTCTGCATTTTCAGGAAAGCACTGCAACCGTTCAAATCAGAGTGAGTACATACTGAGCAAATACATTTTTTTTTTTAGCACTAAACAAGCATTGCGGTGATTGCAATTCAACAAATCAAAGTAAATAAAACTCACTCTTTTCTCCTTGAGGTAGTAACCAATTGCATAATTCCTATCACCGGTCTCCCTCTCTGACTGGAAACTTTAGAAGATGACAGCTATTTAGAAGGTTGCATTGTCTGGATACAAGCCAATGAGGTGGCATTTTCTGAAGCACAGTACTCACGTTGCATTGCTGAAGCCCACATACTCTGTACCAGCCAAGCTTTTCAAGAAGTCCATCACCTGCAAGGAGATTATATGTGCACGTGGTTCAGTAGGAAGGCCAAACACATGTGGAATAAAAAAAAAGTCTTTAAAAGGGTAAAGCATTTACTCACATAGTCGAACCTCTCTGCCTTATTTGAATGAGGCTGTCAACAGAGGGAGAAAAAAGTCACTTTCTGATGCCAACAGGCAGTGAATCCCTATAGATGGCAGTGTTTGAGTACTTTGACACCAAAGCATATATTTGTTTCCAGTAATGGGTGTGCTGCGAGCTGTGACGTGTACATGATGTCTCTGAGCCCTCAGTCCATGTGGCAATGAGCACACGGTGGCCTGGGGGCTTTTATGGCTGTGCTTAAATTTCACGGACCGGTAAGGGAGAAATACCAAGTTGTTAAATTAACAAATACGGACCGTAAGCACATTCATATTTAATGACTCTACCTATAAAGGTTAAGGATGGTATCTCATATAACTGTGAGTTGGAGGGCAGATTGGAGAATTCACCTCATGCCCAATAAAGGAGTTTATTTTATTTATTTCCAGGTGGCTTCTCTCTGGTGCTCTGACAAGTATTTGTTTTAAACTAATGATATAGATTTCTGGCATTTAAACTTATTTTTGTGACCAACTTTGTATTAATCTTTCAAGTCACAATATGGCGCTAACATACAGATACAATCAAACAAATGTAAAACCAGAAAAAAATGGTCCAATTAAAATGTTAAAGTGATAATTGTTTCCAGTGGTGTATATAAAAAAAGCTATTTTCTGCTGCCTGAGTGTAAACTATTTTTAAGTGTAAGACCTCCTCAGTATGTATATACAAACAATGTCCCCTCAACACACCACACAGGAGCGAGGTTCGCTAACACACCTTCTGTTCAGGGGGCTGTAATTGGACAGAAGCACACACACGCCCCTGCTGTCAGGCCCACACACACACAGTACCTCCCTCGCTGCTGAACCTGACCTACATATGATAAAAAAGTCCAGAGTATGTCCTCATTCAGCTGGAATACGTCAGGGGAAAAATACACAACCATATAAGGCTAAACTCCACCTCTCCATGTGTTAAAATAAGGCCAAGGCTCACAGATAAGTGTGATGGTCAGTCGCATGGTGATGACCAGAGTCCAGATGCTACAGGACCCAAGTGACCAGACATTACATTAGAGAGTGCAACATCACTAATAGCTTCAGCGTAAAATACATAGCATTACTTGGCTTCTCATCGTTGGATGCAATCATTCAGGCCTTTAAAAATCCAATAAATGTACAATATCATTTTCAGAACCATACAGATAATGTTTCATAGCACAATAGGAATGCTTGCAAACACTTCTATCACACAGATTGTAAAAAAATTCACATTTTACAATGATTTCTGTATGCACATTTCTAGTATACTTGTGAGTGGCTCAGGAATAACAAGGGCCCATGCATGGACTATAAGAACAGCATGTGTTCTTTAGTGAAATGGTGTAAAGGTTCAAACAAGAGGACAAGATTTCATGTTGCATACTACAGACTTCATTTTGCAAATGTTTCTGTCTATATTATTATATATTCTGAGTTGTAAAACCTCTGCTTCTACTTACAGTACAATCAATGTATTCATTGCAGACAATCCTTTTGATTTTACCTTAAGTAAAGAACTGATGACGATAGCTCCGGCGTTCACCATCGGGTTGTGTGGTTTATCTGCACAAGAAACAAGAGTGTGTTTTCACTTATTAGCCCTAACCATGAGAGCAAGACACTGCTGAGATTAGAGGAGATATGTCATCTGGGGAACAGAGAGTAACATCCGCTAATAAACTCAAAACATAATATACAATTCTCTTTTCTCAAGAGGGGAGAATAAAATGGCAAATTGCTTCAAAACTAAGTGGTATAAATTATTTCAAATATTCCATCTGGACAACAAATCCAGTAAAATCCGTCTGCTTTTTGCCCTATCTTTGCTCTGCCAACAACCAGAGTCTGGTGAAATTACTGATGACCTGATTTGATAAGAGTCAAATACCATACTAAGGGAAAGGAGTTTTGTATAGTTTTGTTTTTTTACAAAACAAGGTTCATATGTTCACTCAGTATTATTGTTAGCTCTTGTTATTGTTTAAAAAGGTAAACAGGAGCTACAGTTTGATTACACTTACCTTCGTCATTTAGTGACAGTTTGTTGAACTTGAATCCACTTGGCTCTTTGCCCACAAAGCGGTGAACATGCTCGGTGCCGAACTCGTGCACGGCGATGGCATACTCCAGAGGCTTCACACACGACTGTAGACAAAAGGGAACCTTGGTGTCACCCACAGAGTGTCTGCATGACATGAGGATGTGATGGAGAAGAATGGAAATAAAATGGAGGAGTGTTAGTGAGGGAATACACACGGTGGAGGTTTTCAGAATGGAGCACACATTAAAGTGAAGATGTTACTGTACCTCTGTCCATCGATTGTGCACAGAGATACGCCCCAGAGATCGGGACTGAACTTAGCCAGCTGAGGAATGTAATCAGCTACCTACATGAACACACACATGAGTGTTACTGTAATGATCGAGCGGATAATGATTCATTATTGAGAGTTAGTAACTTACCTGTCCTGCCTCCTGCTGTTGTGCACTGTCATACATCCTGTCGATCTGCTGGGTCAGCTCATCAAAGTTTGGTATGATGAATTTTTTTCTAAAAGCCTTTGTCAGCAGCATGATGTTGTTTCCCGCACACCTACAGGAGAACTCATCATTAAACAGACATCATAGGAAAACATTTGAAGACATTTAAAAAACTCAATCTTGCAAAAATACCACAAACAAAACTAAAATAACCACCTCATGGCTTTAGGCCTCCGCCAACCAACAAAGTTGCAGTTAATACACATTTCTGTCCAAACAGCGTAAGGGCCTTTCAGAGGAACAGGGTTAAAAGAAAAGTTGTAGCCATGACAGTGGACACGGCTTCAAATATGCATGTTTGTGCAAACATTAAAACATGGATGCTTCAGATAAGTCTTTAATCAAGCAGCACCAAAAGATTATCAATAAAGGTGGGCACGAAAGTTTAATGTCTAATTTAGTGTTCAACTTAAGGTGAACGCACACGCGCACGCACACGCACACGCGCACACACACACACACACACACACACACACACACACACACACACACACACACACACACACACACACACACACACACACACACACACACACACACACACACACACACACACACACACACACACACACACACACACACACACACCACACACACACACACACACACACACACACACACACATTAGACCTTTTGATGTCAATTTATACCTTTTAGACATTTTCTGTGAAATGTTTTCATAATTGGTGCAGTGATTCTTGAGTTGTGGCCAACACTTTTTCTCTGGGATATTATCCAAACATTTGTCAAGAAAAGTTTTGTTTCTTGGACTGAAAAACTGCAGCCTTATTCACGGAGACTGGTTTTGCCTGAAAAATGATTGTATAACTGAAACTCCAATCAATTTGTATCTAATTGAAATGCTCCACTCCTCACTGGGCTTTCATTATTTTCTTTTTCATCACAATGGATTCAAAGTGACCTGCTTTAGACCAATAGATACCCAGCTAAAATAGTAAGCACCCACTCCTGCCTATATCAGCAGAGCCTCATAGTTATTAGAGATTTTCATACCTACTGTATACATCGTCAGCAATTTTGAGCGCTTTCAAGGAAAGGCATATACATTCTGTCACAGCTGGTTTGAACTAAAGATATCTGACCCGCTGGACTCACTAATCCAGGGTGATGTTTGCGTGAGGCCACCGGGAGAGGAGAATAGAGAGAGCTTGCATTATTCACATGGGTCAATTCCTAAAAAAAAAAAAAGGATATACTGAAGCTCTCTCTATTTCTAGTAGCCTATTTATATAGTGAGATCTTGAGTGTTCTTCAGAAGAGGATAAGCTTACAAATCAAAGAAAACAAGCAGAGAAAGAAAGACACAGCCAATTAAGTTTGACAAAGACTACCAGGCTGTGTTACCCTCTGCTGTTCCAAGCCAAAGGATGAGACGTAGTGTATTACACTTACAAATGACACCATTTGGCAACAGACTGCATGGAGCTTACAGATCTGTTAAGTGTACTAATGAAATAGCCACAGCATGGGGCTCAACCAGAATGATGCCCCCTTCTTTCTGCTCCCTTTACTGCTTTGACTGCCCAGTGTGTGTGAGAATTTGGTTAGTACTGTAGCAGCTGTCAGCCGTAAAACGCCTGTCTCTGTCAGTCTCTTGGACTCAAATAGCGCTGATCACTGAATACTCCTCCTGTTACTCTTGTACTTATAGGAGTACAAGAGTAACAGGATATTCTCACTTTATATATACACTTCCACGGACCCAAACTGACATAGTGGCATAACCTGTGAATTTACAACTTCCATGTCTGTCACATGATGCCATTAGGCCAAACAGGACATTGGTGAAGAAATGTCAGTTAATAATCAATTTTTTCGAGTTAATGAACGTCAAACACTAGTTAGCTTTTCTTTTTAGGTACTTGAAAAATATCACCTGGCTATCTAGGTAATTTCCTACTTGGGTTTCATGTGCCACTGAGCCATTTTCCTATGAATGAATGACCCCATCTCACACTCTCTATTCAGTTCTCTTTACACTTCCAGGAATCTGCCTTTCTGCACTGTGTTTATACAGAACAGAGTAACCACACATTGGCTCTAGAAGTGGTCTTTCACATTTGTTGGGTTACCTGAAGGAGAGGTAATCATATTCTCAGATTCATATGCAGGTTTGATAAACCAATTGGAATAAATAATACATTAAACTGGTTATGCAGCAGTGACAGAAACTGAGTGTTTTATTAAAGCAAATATAGAGAGTGCTCTGTGTACTTTTGACATGGAGGTAAAAGTTCTTCACTCCCCCTGTGAATAACCGTGTGCATAACTGCGTTTCCATAAATACACAAAACTTTTCTCACCTTCTGAAGAGCTTCTTGTCCATCATGACCGGCCCGACAGAGTCACGTGAGGATTGTCGCATTTGACGTACACAGTCACGTAGGCGAGGGTCAGAGGTTAACAAACCTGTTTTTCTTAAAGCCTGGAGAAGAGGGAGAAGAGATGGTTTTGAGCGACAAGGGATAAAAACATTGGAATCGTTTATGCATTCATCAAACACTTTGGATCAGGCACAATAGTGATAATTGAATGGCTATTAGCAGTGTGTTGAACATGTGTACATAGGGTAAGTGGAGGTACACTGTTGGAGGAACCTGTGACCTGAAACTTTCCTCGTCATAACTACACTGTAGCTATGTACGTATGACTAATAATAGCTGTTAAGGAATAATTCTTCTAGATATCTAACCTTTTGCTCTGTGACGTTTTTATGATCTACTCTGACGTCTGTTATCTCCTTTAAGGAAAGGCCTTGGTGCCATATGTGTTGTTGTTACCAGTTTGTGACCGGTCAACTTGTCTGGCACGAATGGTACTTGTTGTGAGAACGCTGAGGCACTTCTTTATCGGTGTTTGTGGACTCCAAGATGTGAAATCTTTGAGGCCATGAGTGTCGGACACAGGTGGCTCAGTGTTCCCAGCTGTTTAGTCTACTCCTTCAGAGATGTTGATTACTCTCTGTGAACCAGTTAAAAGGTCTAGCATAGAGAGAGGCTCTTCAGAATTGACGTGGCAACTCTACCGTGAAGTCAGAACCTCTGACTCTTTGACTTGTGATGTGAATCCTCCGGCCGATACTCTGAATAAACCCATCAGTGTTTGACATCAAAAGCTCCAACTCTCACCGTGTCTCCTTCCTGAGTCGGTGACTCCCAATGCATTGCTACACAGAAGTTTCCCCCACAATAGCCTTGAACCTTGAACTTGAATAGTGAGGGATAGTGACTTCAAATGATTGTGGGTGCCCACCTGGGTATAAGAAGTAAATACAGACGTAGACTGAATCACTTGAAACCTTCTCGTAAGTCACACGTCAGGCAGCCTGCCACTGTCTCAACCATGTGCATCTATTTTGGGGACGCCATGTGCACGACCCTCGGCTGATTCAGTGAGCTAACGGCAGACAAGCACATGGCTGCTTTTGCTGTTATTGAATGTCTTTGTGTTATTTTTAGCTAAAGGACAGGAAATTCTAAATGTAGTGCTGCCCTCATAGTTTTGTATGCATACATTCGCCTGCACGTGTAAGAACATTTTACGTTAAGATTTGTGAGCAGTTTTTGTTTAGCCACACACAACAGACACAGACAGGCCTTTCAAATGACAGCTTGGTTAGCATGATGAAATAACTAAGTACCTCATATGCCTAAATCTGTATAATATTAACTCTTCATACACAGTCATTTAAAGCTGAAACTAAATGTATTGAAACTATCAATTAATATATGAGTCAATCGTCAGAAATGTCATCAGATACAAGGTTGATAAACAGTTAATTATATATAAATACAAAAACACTTATTTGTTGAATAAATATGTTGCAGTTATTGGTCCTGTTTTTTTTTGGGTTGTCAGATAGAACAGGCAATTTAACCAAGTAGGACCAAACAATTACTTGATAAATAAAGACAATAATGAATCAGCAGTTACATTTTTAATCATAGTTTGTCAGGGTACTATATTTAAATGATATACAACTTACATTTTATATTTTATCTAAGCTCACTAAAAGGGCTTACCATTCAATTCACTTTCATGTGTATCAGGCAGGATTGGAAAATACATTTTGTCTTGCTTTGTAAGTTTGAAAATATATTAATGGAAGATAAAAGAAATTGCAATCTCAATACAAATCAGCTTGTTTCCAAAATGTTCTGATATTCAGAGTCATTCTCTTGATACTAGACCACTGATTTCCCATGTTATATCTCCATTTCTACATCAATGGAGAGAATAAACCCAAACTCTGCCTTTAAGAACAAGTATTGGAGATTGAATATTAAGTGATAGTATATAATATATAGTATCTGTTTTAACAGGACACATATAAACATTCAAGGCAGACTATAACACTAAGTGACTTGTAAGGATGAAGGGTTTTGCAGTTATCTTCTAACATTGATGTTGACTTACACTTTCACCATTAAGTCCTCTCCCAGTCACCTCTACAAACACACCAGGTCATCCGTTGCACGACAACAAGCCACTTGTGTTGACACACCTCTCTTCTCCTGAATGCATGTTCCATTTTAAAATTCCTGAGTTGTCATAACACCCAAGTCAGCAGATGTCCATGTCTGCCTTTTTTTAATGTGACGGTCTTAAAGGTCATGCCACATGAAACTAAATGAGGTATGCATTAGCACGTTATCAGAGCGCACAAAAAACCCTCGCAGTCTATGTCTTAGTTATCTTCCGAAATATGTTTGTATATAAGATATAGGAAAGAATACACTTTTAATGGGTTCACAAAGCATTACATAACTTCAATACATTGTGTGTACAGGAGATACTGGCACCAAATCAGGGTTAATGAACAGTGAAAATGTTATGGTGGTTACTTCATTTTTTAATCCAGATGTTAGTGGGTATTTGTGTTTTTTTTGTTCAGTGGGAAAGCCTTAACTAAGCTCTTTGGTTCTGTTGTTTAAGTGAAATGCCCTTGATCTAATGAGCCATCTATCACATCAGCAGGTACAAAATGTTAAGATAGTGTTGTAATGAAACCCCCATTATAAAAAGGATAATTAAAAAATGCATGGTGTTCTCTAATGGCGATTACATCACCACCTATAATTAGTCCTATTACATGACAAAGTCCCTAAACACCTTCTTGACTTGAACATGCATTCAGATGGAGATGCTCTGGATTCCTGTTTCCGGCTCCTATATCATTCCCCAAGGTTGATTTAACCAAAGTCATAGGTGCTTTTCGGAAATACAATACTGAGGCAGTGCCACATATGTCATGGAAAGTCATAACAGTTCAGGGCGTGACTGAGAAAGTGTGAGTGTGTTGTTTACTCACAGAAATGAACTGGGACAGTGGGATTGTCTCCTTGCCTTCAGTGATGGTGTAGAAAAGCAGGTCCTCCATACTGGACATGAACCTACTTCTGCAAACACAAAAAACACATAAACATGTTTGCACCTTTTGTTATGTTTGAATTTGCATTGGCTCCAATGTTTTCAGACAAAACCCTGAGATGTGTGTCAACCTTTACGTCAATAACATGGCCAGTAGTGAAAATACTGGCATCATGACAGAGGCTGTGGCCTCTATGCCATGTCTAAATATGTTTACAAAAAACAATCATAAGCAAAATTCATTTAGTCATTAGTGCAGTAGGCCTATACAAATGCGGGCTTCCATATTGTTTGGGTCTAGTATATAAACATGTAACCTACTTTGAAATACTATTCACAATTTGTATGTTAATAATTGTACTTATTATAGCAAGAGTTGGAGGAAAAAAGAAAGAAAAATACAATTACAAAAGTAAACTACTAACAGCAAATAGCACAACAATCCTATGGGTGTACATGTAATTTAATTACCATGATAATAAAAAAATGGGGAAATGGTTGTTTGCTTATTTACCAATAATAAATAACAAGTTTGAAGACACACTCTGGTGTTTGAGTTATGTAACGTTAGCTAGAGACACAATATAGTTAGCTTAGCATAAAGACTGGAAGCCATTGGGAATAGTTAGCCTTCCTCTGGCTAAATATTTAACAAATATAGCCAGCTATATCAAACCCAATAAACCAAACACAGACTTGTTATTAACAATGTTTTTTAAACTTTAGTTTGTGAATGAATAAACAATCAATACTATAGAAGGCTAATTTGTAAGTTTCAGAAGAGCAGTTGGCGTTTCCTTTTTTCATACCATTGGACAGAAACATGCTAACTGTTTTGGCCTTGTTGCTAAGCTAAGCTAACTTTCGTCTGACTGTATCTTCATGTTTAGAAACGAGTGGAATCGATCTTCTACAATCCTAGCAAGAAAGTGAATATTGGTAAGAGAATTTTCCACAATATATCTTACACAAAAAGTCTAACAATTTATCTAAAAATATTCATTTTGGAATATTTCAGTCTACAATTATTTTATAAGTGTGATGTTATGGTAGAAATGACTAAAAGCTTGAATTATGGGATTGCCAGACATGTGAGTAGGCCTTCACCAGACAGTTCACTCATGAATATTTGATCCTTCACGGGTTTATTGTTTGTTTGGATGCTCATTAGCTACTTCTTCAATAATAGGTAATGGTATTATTACACTACCATGACATTCTTACTTACAATGGGACATAATACATAACATAACATAACCACTAAGTAACACAACAACCAACACTAACTTCTAAATAAATCACTTAACAACTCATCCAATAGGATAAATAAGTCATCCATATCACATCACAACAGAACAAACACAAAACAGAAAGTCATATAATGTTCTGATCTTAGCTAAAACATCTTGTATTTCTTATATTTCAATATGTAAATGTTGTGGGGAATTATTCATTATATATGTTGGCGAATTATTGGTGATTTATTCATTTAGACACAGCATTATGTGACCTACTTGGGGTGTCCTGGGTCCGCATCAGGGCCCTTCTGGTGGAAGGCTCTGTGGGTGTGGTGTGATGCTGCAGCCCAGCAGGGGAGAGGCACAGGTTGCTGGGTCCGGGACAAAACAATGTTGTCAGCTCCACCTCTGCTGGAGATCCCTGCATTTTTAAATAGCTGCAAGATTCCCGGGTTAGCTGTCCTCAGACTTTTCAGGCAGTGCATTGTGTGATAAGTAGGGCTTAGTCTTTAATAATTCAGAGGATGTGTTTTTTCCTCTTCCCAGTAGCTTATCCAGAGAGATATTTGTGACCAATGGCCCTCTGTCCTTTGCTTTAATAGCAGCTGCTGTCCTACACACTGGCTCAACTACAGGCTGTGACTCGGGGGCGGGGCTGTGACACATGCAGCATGGTGGGGTCAATAACCTGCAGCTACTCAAGCCAAACTGGTGTTTGATTATAGGCAGAGACGGTTTAGAAAGTTATGGAGCATATTTGACTTAGGTAAGACTTATTACGTTAGCTTAGGAAGGAAAATAATATGTATAAACATTTTACAAAGTTATATTCCTACTTGTGTTTAGTCTGGTCTTTAGTTTAGGCCTAGAGGTACACAGCTTTATTTCACTTTCAAAAAACTTGCTGACTATTTTGTTCCAAATTCAAATCAAAAGGTCAGATGAATAATGTCACTCATGGCAGTTTCAACATAAACCTTTATGATAATTGTGGCCAAAATTCAGATGTATGTGGGACCCGTTTTCATTATTTAGCTAAAGAAAAATGATATGATAAATTATTTTTACAAACTCACACTCAATGGCCTTGGCTCATTTTCTGTGAAGAACATATATCAGAACAAATTTTCAATGACCACCCACTATACACCCCCTCTACACATTTACATTACATCCAGGATGTTCGGGTCCACTGCACGGCTAACAAAAGTGTGGAAATTGTAGGTCCTGTGCACCTGTCTGGGCCTTCCGTGTGTGTGTGTGTGTGTGTGTGTGTGTGTGTGTGTGTGTGTGTGTGTGTGTGTGTGTGTGTGTGTGTGTGTGTGTGTGCGTGCGTGCGCGCGTGCGTGCGCGCGTGCGTGCGCGCGTGTGTGTGTACTGTATGTGTGAGACTTTTGTGTTTCCGCCCCTGCCATTCCCGCACAAGGTTGCAACATTGTTGATACATTTAAGCACCGACACCTGTCTGCTCTCACATTCCCGCATTATGTTTTTTAATCTTGATTTTTTTCACACTCTATCCCAGCTGTACATTTGGGGCGAAACACAATAAATAAAGCTTCGCCAGTTTGGGTCCTTATCACAACTGATCAAGATGGCCAAAAGATTCTCTGCTCAGAGGGCCTTGCAAATGATTTTGGAAGAGAGAGAACCATTTGATGATGATGTAGAGGAGGAGGAAGAGGTTTCAGAATGTGAGGATCACATTTCTGAGAATTCTGAGTCTGACAGTGACTTTGAAGAAGAGGATGAGATATGCTGTTTATATTGCTTGTAATTAGGATGAAGTAAACATCTGTTGAGTATTTTAACATAAAATAGTTTGATTGTGTTGAATTGAAACCCAGAAAGGCAGCGGGTCCACCAGACCCACGAACACTGGCTGAATAACAAAAATATGAACACCACACAAGGGTTAAATGAAATAAAAGGGGATGGGAAAAGTTCAAATGTCCACATCAAGGTTTATTTTCCAAACATTGCAGCATTCAACATAAACTGACCTTGAAAAAGTGGACGTACGCCAGCAAATGAGTTTATTTAACTCCTATCAAAGGAAAAGTCATTTCAAAGGACTTGTGTTGATGTTTACTGTTATTTATTTTTTCTTATAACTTTTTGTGATGCTAATTATGTAGCTTTGCAGAACAAAGCACCAACAATAAAAATATGAAAAATAATTAATATTTCATGAGTTTTTGTCAGTGACATTCAATCGACTGTGAGTCATTTGTTGGTGTCATACCTTTTTTCTTTGATTGTAAAATACTTTATGATAAAGTGTGTCAGCTTAATCTGCCATTAACTTAAGGTCAGGTTATTTACATTTCAACATGGACTGGGAAAACATGTTTGTTGTCTTGTAAATAATGTAATATAGGTAAAAATCATGTTCACACGAGAGAGTCATTTCGAATGCTGTTATGTGGCGACACCCCATGGTGAGTTTCCCAAACTGACACACTGAAACTTTACTATGTTGTCCTCTAGGTGGCGTACTCACTCCAGCAGGACCCAATGCTCAGGTCAGTCTCTATTCCGTTGAGAGGACACATTACAGTCCTGTGTCTGAGATCCTTCCTCTCCATAGAGGTTTTTGGCAGGTTTCCTGGTTCTTCAAACACAACTGTTTGTATCATATGAGATCTCTTGAGACTGAGGCCTGACTTCCTGTCTTTGATGTCAGTCCGCTGCTGTGTGAGAAGCTCCTCAGTAAGACAGTGGCTGACTGTGATGGAGCATTTTTAACACAAGATAAACAGGTTATAGGGTATCACTTCCCAAAAACAGAGGATCAAGAAATGTAAACTGAGGCAAGAATCCGACAGTAGATCGGCACTCTATATTAAAAGCTCTTAGCTATTTGAATTGTGCCTATTTATGATCTAATATTTGTCAGTCATTGTCAAATATTGTCTTGCTCTTTAAATAGTGGTTCTCAACCTCGGGGTCAAGCAGGTGCATGGCTTAGATTTATGGTTTACTGTAATCATATATATTTAAGCACTAAAAAATCTATAGATGTATGTGCAGGGAAATTGTTGTTGCAAACACCAGCCAGATTATTATTCAGGGTCTCGGCTCTAAAAAGTAGAGACCCATTACTTTAGATTATAAACACTTTATTTTTGCTATTTATCTAACTTTTAAAGCTATTTGAATTGTCGTCCTACTGTTTTCGAGGCAGTTCTAATGAAGGCAATCTATCACCAGATGATGTTCAGGTTTAAAGCACACCTGCTAAACATTCACATTCTACCTTTAAAATTCCTGCTGACTGCAGGATTAGTTTCCAATCAGACTTTAGAGGCTGATATGGTATTATCTCAATTACCAAATAAACGAGGCCTCGTAGGCTCTGGTGGTCTCTCTGCATTTCTAGGCGTGTGACTTCTCCAAAGGGGTCCATGCTAACCCATGGCCTCTCTACCTCTGCCGGTTGTAGCTTCTCTGTTTTCAGACGAAAATGTTTTCCATTCCTGGGCCAATGAATGCCACCTTTGTCCCTTCATCCTCCATCTTGTGTGAGAAAGCCCCCCTCGCTGCACTCACCAAGCCTGCACAAACTTAACCTCTTCCCCCCTCCACCTCACACAGGAAAAGAAACATACCGGGTCTGGCGCTTTGATTCAGGCTCAGTAATCTGGAGGTCTGGATAAAGCACTGGCTTAGAGAGCACTTTGGACAGCCAGTTTTGGGGAAAGAAAGGTGTAGTAGTTGCTGAAATGTGATTGAAACAGCATTGGGATGAATCTGATACAAATCTGCTGAATTCATGTACCAGACTGGTAAGGGCCTTCAAAAGAGATGGCCAAAGAAAAAGGCTGTCCCTCGTTATTCTAAGTTAATTTAGACCAGTTTATGCTACAAAATGTGTGGTAATAAACATTTTAAGAGATATTTATTAGTTCTTCAGCAACTCAAGCCACTCGGACCTTTTTCTTATTCACATGACACCAATTACCCTGCCATTTTCATAGGATTGTTGCTTATTTTTTCAACTTCCCAAAGCCCCTCTGGGCCTTGAAACACTACTCAGGCTACCACACACATCTCATGTTGGACTGAATGGTTTAAAACCACATAGACAGTAGACACCTAAATCCAATCCATTTTTAGTTAGAGTCAACCTAGTTTCGGCTCCACTGTCCTATGTAAGACTTCCTGCATGAAAACAATTTAAAACCAATTAGGGTACATTGTGAAACTAAGCTGCTTATGAGAAACCAGTTAAATGCTTGTGGAGATTAAATGCACTGTTTAATGTATCTTTCAAATGAAAGAGTAAGGGCCATTATCCTTGCGCCACCCAGAGAGAAAGGAATTCCAATCTCTTCTCTAAAGTGAACCTCACCCACCCACACACACACCCAACCCCACCCACACACACCCACACGCACGCACGCACGCACGCACGCACGCACGCACGCACGCACGCACGCACGCACGCACGCACGCACGCACGCACGCACGCACGCACGCACGCACACACACACACACACACACACACACACACACACACACACACACACACACACACACAGAGAGTAAGAGAGAGAGAGCATATAAACATTCTAACTATCTATCAATCCATTCACCTACAGTATGATGCCATTATGTCCGATTTTCACTCCAGTTGTCTTTTCAAATTGAGTTACATTAGCCACATTGACACTCCAAAGTGTTGGTTCTGCACTTTGCACTTTGCCAGATTTCCTTATCTAAGGAATATTATAACCCCCAGATGATGAATTCTACTTTCACAGCTAATGAACAAATTCCAAAATGACAAAAAGGAGTTAAATAATTATTTTCATAGGTTTTCTCATTTGCTTTGGTACATTTCTCGAATCCTCCGTACGGACAGGACCATACATCTAATGTATCATTACAGTGTGAATTTTCTTCATCTCTGAAACTAGCTGCAGATTCAGATGATTTCGGAGCTTTAAAGTAAGTTTAGTCTCAAGCTGCAAACGGACAGCAAAACTACTGTTTGGGTTCACTGTCACCGCTCTCATAGAAGCAGACAGCTGTTCCCAGTGAAAAGCTCTAAAACCCCACTATACTCTATACCTGCTCAGCAAATAGCAGACTAGCTGCTGAACATAGTGGAGCATTTAGTAGCTGAATGGACAGATATTTCCTTCAGGAGTTGAGCTGAGATGTCCTAAAATGGCAGAAACTCTTTTTATATACACTACTGTAATAACCGTTTTCCTCTGGCAATGCCCCCAGGTCACACTTTACATTTTCTGCCCCAGCAATAAGACAAAAATAGAGAATTTGCTAATATATTTTAAAATCATTGCATTGGTTTCCTAACGGTTTTAAGGTTGAATCACTGAATCTTGTGGCACAGCCTTCTCTCTCAGACTGGCTTTTAAGATGTACCTATAGCAGGATCCTCTGTTGCTGGCCCCTAGTATCCTCAAGGATCTTAACAAAAAGGTGGAGAGATGTCTCTCTCTGGCTCTTATGCCTGAAACAGTCTGCTTTATGATTTAAGGTACTCTACCTCCAACTCTGTG